AGTGTGACTACAGTTCATTCCTGGGTGTTAATTTTAAGGTTTGTATTGGGACTGGGCGTAAGTATATGTTTAAAGGAATGCTCAGGTGTGTTAAAGATTCTACAATTCACTAGAAAGTCACCTCTGAGATTCAGTGGTTTTAGGAGGTTTTCATAAGGTTCCTAAACTGATTTCATGGCTCTCCTTTCAATACATTCTAGTATTTTCTCATCCTTATGGAGTGGGGAAGGAAATATTGTTTTCCCATACTCAAAATGAGGTCGAATAAAACTTTGAAAGATTAGGTGTAAAGTTTGACCGTCAGAATAGCCAAAAATGCACTTTGACTTGAATAGAGAAAGGTTTGCTCGAAAGTCATTTCGTCTCAGTAAGTGTAAGGCTTTAGTTACTAAGTCTTCTAGATATTTTTCAGCTTGGGACACTTTTCAAAGAGAGTTATCCAAGTTGTATGCGTAGTCTGCAACATGTCACAGATGGACTACATAACACTTTTAAAAATTATATTAAGTCGGTTGTTGTCCACCCAACTTTGAAATTGAGTCCTCGTGAAGTGCCAGCTTATCATGTTGGTTGCAAATTTCTCTCCAAACTTTTAAGCCTTCGATGAAAAACAAATACTCAGATGATACCTGCCAAAAGAGGTCACTTATATTTGGAGGGACCTACGGGGACATTCTATAGCCTGATAAAAGGCGAAAATTACCCTGACCCTAAGACGTTGATTATATTGATATGAAGGAAGCAAATCAATTAATGGTGACTTCGTACCTAACAATTTGAGCTTATTGATGGGACATATACGACTGACCCTATCAAAAGCTTTCGAGAACGCCAGATACATAACATCAACCTGCGACTTAGGACTAAGGATGTTTGTCCATCTCTCCACCGTGGACGACAAGTTGGTCATACTGGAGTGACTCTTTCTTATACCGTTCTGTGGGGTTGAAAAACGTTTATGGACTATAATTAGTCATTTAGGCCATCGTATATCAGAGACCCAATAACATTTAAAGACATTGAGGTAAGTGCTATCGAATGGTATCTAGAAGGTTATTGGCATACATCCTATTTGAAAATCAGTAATGTGCACCAGATTCCGATTTCTTGAGACCGTAACTCTGCTCGGTGGCACTATACGCATTAAAATATATAAATCCGGTGTCCTTGTAATAACCTGGTTTAAGCCAGTGGAGTTCTTTTCATTCGCGCTCCCTTTAAATTATCAAACAATCTCTTCTTTTACAGTGTTTTAGTTTCTAAGAATGTTTTCAGATCATAGAATATGTTTATTGGAGTGGATCTACAACATTGAACGTCATATTCTTAGTGGATTCAATAAGCACTTGTAGACAGTGTTTTTTGACAACCCAGTAAATGATTCTACTTCAAATTTCGTGACCATTGTCACGTTATCGAATAGTTTGGATTGTCGTATTGAATTAAAAGTTATTTGGGAGAAGCAATCTGCAAAAGAATTGTATTTTCTGTTAGTTCATGTCAGCAGTTAGGTTGAAAACTAAAGTACTGAAAAGAACTAGGTAACATGAAACCTAATCTGACAAATAAATCTGGGTTGTAAAGAAGGTTCTTTACTCCGTTAACTCGATCATCCGGTCAAAAAATTGCAGTTTCTCTAAGTTTTTGGTTGTCAAGCCACCTGTGGAAGCTCTTTTGAGTAAACTATAATTACATAGAGTAGTCCAAACTTTTAACGCCAGAATATAAGATCTGTCTAGAGTGCTCACTCTTCAAGTGGAAATCCATAAGATTTACACCTTTAATTCCAATATCGATTATCCATTAGGACCAGTTTTAAACAATGACGACGGTTGCTTGGTTTATTATTAAGGATATAAAGACAAAGGTGTCGAAATGTTAGAGATGTCAATACTGCAGATGAAATATTTGACCCGTTGCGCTTCATGTGTGAATCCATCCATTGGTCTCAGACGCTTCTGTAGCCACAGTAGTCAACAAACAACATGACAACTTGAGGTGTTTAAATGAAAGATGTAGAAACTGTTCAAGACGTATGACATAAAACTGAGTATTTGTATGCAAGTCTGAGAATGCAATTAATTAACAAGGAATGTTTGTTATATGCATAAATAAGACTGTCAATCAACCCGTGGATAGCAGTATACCATATGATACTAAATTCTAATCACTGAGACAGAATCAACAACTGGACAATTGACTAGTCATCTTAAGTACATAACTGTTATCAAACACCATTCGAAAGCCAATTAAAAATGTTGTTACTAACATTGAAAATCATTCGATCTGCAATAAGAACGACCTGACACACATGATATTGATTACCACCAATCATTGATCAATCAATCGTAAATACATCTCATTCCTACAGTAGGTCAGTCACGACCCAGATAGACCAGTGGTAACACCTTTGACTATGAAGCTGAGTAACACCTTGCTGACAAGTGCCAAATAGCACGAAACTCAGGTCCAGAGTTTCTTGTTGACTACCTCTAACCACCATCATATATCAATCAATCAATCAGTGATATACAAATTATAATTTGACAATATGAACTATTGTGTATGGATTTATCTGAACTTAGATATATTCCTTTTAAAAAATACCAATAAATGAATAGATAAAAATTAAGTTACCATATCAAAGATTATCTTTTATCTATAATTTTCATTTCAATAGAAACCAATATTTTATTATTTTTAGAAAAAAACTATCTTGATGATAACCAGATAATGAAGTGTGAAGAAAATGTATTTTACGCATTAAAAACAGCAGAAGCGCTGCATATATGGGCGAACAAGAACAGCCTGAACCGAAAAGATGGTATTCAACTGGCAAATTTCATTTGACAAGTAAAATTTGGAACCTATCTCTTGTTTAAACCTGTTTTTTAATATCACATGCATCGTTATTATTTTTGAAAGAATTCAATGAGTTTTTTAAACAATACAATTTATGTTTTGACATGCACATCGATCTTTCATTATCAATTTTCCATCCTTGAACTTGAACTTTATTTATTCCTTCATATCAATCTCTCACACATGCATACATACCTACACACTCACACACATATGATTTGTTACTCAATTAAGTATTTCCATGTAGTTGATTTCTTCACATGATTTGTAGTTAACTGATTCATTTTATCCTATTTTACAAAAAATCAACATCCAAACATGACTGGTTTAACACAGTATAATCCTGATTGTTAAAAGCTATATATTTCTTTGATAATTTTGATTTTGATTATTACCCTGAAGAAGTCCAGACAAGTTAGCTGGACGAAACGGTGGAATTAGTTAAATTTCAATCGCTGAGAATATTTCAAATATAATTTTCACATATAATGACTTCTCTATACTCGGCGCTCAATTACTGTCAAACTATTCGTTCTAATCTTGATGAATATTCATATAAATTTAATGTATTTAGTTATTTATGTTTCTTTATTCAAAGTTAATGAATCATTTTAACCAACAACAGAATACATAAAAGATAAAAGAAAGTAAAATTAGAAGAAATTAGAAGAAAACAGAAAAGAAACCATCGAATCAATACTTTTTGATAACAAAAAAAAACAAAAAAATAAAATCATAATCATTCACTTAGTAATAAGAAAATATCAATGTAAATATCGATTATAAGCAAATAACGATTTGTAATAATCATATAGATTGAATCTTTAAAAATCTGATTATATATGGTAAATAGTTTTATTTTTTTTTAAAAAAAAGTAAACAGATGATTGTTTAAATTAAAAAGATAAAGATTTCAATATTGTTTAAGCACAGATACAATGAATCAATCAATATTTTTTTTAAGTAAACAATAAAATTTCGAAAGATAAAGAAACTTGATGGAAACTATCATTCTTTTTTCCTTTCTTAAAAAATATGAGGAACTAGTTTTAAGTGTATTTTTGTTCTTTGATTTATTATGAATACATTTGTCATATATTTTATTATATTAGTTTTAGAATAAATTTAATTGTGTAGATGTAAGATATTGTTCTTTCAAAAAGTGAATATTTTCATTCAAGTGAATATATTACTTATATATTGTATGGAATCTCGAAGTATTTATTAACAAAACAAACTGTAATTCTTTCACTGTTATTCTGAATTACAAAATGTAAATAACATTCTTTCATTCAATCATTTATATCAAACAGCTTAGTAACAATACTAATAAAATGATGTAATATATTCAGACTGTAAAAAAGAACATTTTATACAATCTGTAATGAAGGTCATCAATTAATCTGTCTGATTTTCACTCGAATTGAACTAGTTAAAAAAATAATAATAATAAATACAAATATATAATTTACTCATTATGTAATAATATAATCGGTGAGACTATAATTTATGGATGACCTTTGAGTAACGCTGGAATGACCTGGAGAGTAGACACCTCCTCCTGATTAGGATTAAATGAAGGTTATAAACCAGTTAGAATTTTCATTTATAGTTGATAGTTAGGGTTAAAACTTAGATTTAGGATTTTCATCAGGAACTGATATCAGCTATCCTGATAAAACTTTATTTCGTCAAATGTATCAATGAATTTCGTGCCAAAATTCGTGAATCATTATCTTCTATCTGATTGGTTCATCCATAAATTATATTCTCGTCATATAATTTATATAGATTTCATAAATAAGTTAAAAAGAAATAGATTTAAATAAATTATTGATGATGTTTTGTTTTTTTCTGAAGGTATTCTGTAAAAGAAAAGTCTATTGCCTATAATTTTAAATGATCACTTTATATCATTCATTATAATTTGAATTCAATTCATTTTGATTTCTGTATGTTCAACAAGCTATACAATTATTGATTTTTTTAAAAATGAATTAATTAAACAAATAAAAAGGAAATATTATATTACGTTTTTAAAAAAAAGTGGTATAGTTGCTAAGTGTCTTACCATATTTATTTTTAAAAAATTTTTTTTTAATTTATGTTTACATTGTTGATCAGTTTACACTAATCGTTCAGAGTGCAATTTTTTTATGATGATCAGATAACTTCAAAACAAAAACAAAAAAGAAAAAGGAAACAAGAATATTACATTTTATATGTAGCTAAGAGTTTATTGTTAAGAGAAAACTTACGATTTATTTAAGATAATTTAGATTATATTTTCAATTCAAAGATCAAAAGTGATTCAAGGTAATAATTTAATATTTTCTATCAAAACGTATCGTTGTTAAATTAGCAATCTTTAATCTTACTACAATATAATGTTCATTAAGTTAAATAAGAATTCCCATGAAAAGGTAACTAAAGAATCTCACTGGTTGAGATCATGAGTCAATTAAAGCTAGACCATCATGGAAAACCTGGAAACACTGGACGGCCGCTTCGTCCTAGTATGGTACTCCTCTGCAGTGCGCATCCACGATCCCGCACCACGCGAGATCCGAACCCAGGGCCTCCAAGAGATACTCCCGAAGTTCTAGTGAGAAGCCGTTACCAGTGGAGTTCAACCACGCCTGTTGTGTGATATCAACTCATTGAAGACAATGGTGTGCGGTGGTGAAACTTCGTGGATTGGTTGAAGTTAGACATTAACACCGCTGGATGCCGACTCACCGGTTTAATGGTTAAGCGCGCGCACACGAGACTGATAAGTCGTTGGTTTGAATCTCGCGGGGTTCGGGATCGTGGATGCGCACTGCTGAGGAGTACCATACTAGGACGAAACGGCCGTTCAGTGCTTCCAGGTTTTCCATGATGGTCTAGCTTCAATTGAGTCATGATTTCAACCAGTGAAATTTTTAAAATCTGCACAAAACCCCTTCTGATAACTAAAGAATTATAATTCATAAATCGTAAAACAACCAATCAACAGATCTTATGATGGAAAAGGATGAAATCAACTGCTAACATTAAATTTATATATTTAAACAACTAGTTTATTTAACTGTCATACAAAACGTAATCCGGGAATCAATACGTAGTAAGTTCAGGGTGGTTAATAGTTTATAAAGAATTAAATTACGGTTGTTCTAAAAATAAACGAATACAATACTGTTTAGAGTAAAGCCGAAAATTGCTTGACAATACTGCATTACAAGTCAGCTGATATTGAGTTAAACGATTTTTAACTGTGGAGCCATGACATATAGAGACAGCCCCATACGGATTTCATCTGAGTGGTTAAATCATAATGTACGTAGCTGGATGTAAAAGGCAGGAAACTCGTTTTATTCGATTTGGGACTTATCAGGATAATATGCTTGGTTCTCTATGTTGATAGTCACAACGAGAATCAAACCCAGTGCGTTACTTTTTTCACTGCCAACTAGCTATTCACTCAGCTACTAACGTGTTCAGATGGTTCTCATACTGTTCAACAGGTCTGAAGTTATTAATAAACGTTTTTAATTCCCCGTTGTCGATTTCTGGACCTTAACTAATCAGTCTCTGATGGAGTATTTTCACAAACCCAACCCTTGCAAAAACATATAATAGCATCTTAAATAACTGAAATGATTACAATAACAAAAAAATCAACAACTCTCTAAGTAGTTCTATTCCACTGTATACAATCTTTAAAAGTTCCCAGTATCTACAATTTGGTGTATCCACAACATCTACTCACCTTGATTACATAATCTTGATTCCCATTTATATTATTATTATTATTATTAGTATAACTATGAACTGATTGTGGATCACGTGTAATATATTTACCTAGACTTTTAATAAATAAGAAAATAAACAAACATAATAAAACTCAGATAAAAACAAAATATTCTTATTTTTTGTAAACAACAAATAAACAACTAATTAACAGTTTAAATGTGAAAAACATCTTTTTTTATCTATGAGAATATAAAACACAAAAAAACATGGGAAAAAAACCACATGACAATTGAATAGAATTTAGTATCAGAAGGGGTTGAGTGGATATTATAGTAATTTTCAATAGTTTAAATCATGAGTCAATTGAAAATAGACCATCATGGAAAACCTGGAAGCACTGGACCGCCGTGTTGTCTTATTGTGGGATTCCTCAGCAGTGTGCACACACGATATATATTACTTACTTACACCTGTTACTCCCAGTGGAGCACAGCCCGCTGACCACCATGCTCCATCCACTCTGTCCTGAGCCTCCCTTTCTAGTTTTATACAATTCATGTTCATTCTTCTCACGCCTGTCTCCATTTCCCGGCATAATGTGTTCTATGGTCTTCCTCTTCTCCTCATTTGGCTTTGAGGATCCCAAGTGAGGGCTTGCCTTGTGATGCGGTCGGGTGCTTACCTCAATGTGTGTCCTATCCACTTCCAGCGCTTCTTCCTACTTTCTTCCTCCGCTGGCATCTGGTTTGTTCTCTCCCATAGTAGGTTGTTGCTGATAATGCTGGCCAACGGATCCGAGGTATTTTGCGTAGACAACTGTTAATAAACACTTGTATCTTCTCAACGATTGCTTTCGTAGTTCCCCAAGATTCCGCCCCATACAGTAGAACTGTCTTAACATTTGTATTGAAAATTCTAACTCTGGTGTTGGCAGTTGACAGTCGTTTTGAGTTGCAGATGTTCTTCAGTTGTAGATATGCTCCTCTTGCTTTGTCAATCTGCGCCTTCACATCTGCATCAGATCCACCATGTTCATCGATGACGCTGACCAGTTATGTGAAGGTTTTTACATCCTACAAAGCTTTTCTGTCAAGTGTGATTTGATTGGTGTCTGTAGTGTTGTATGAGAGAATCTTGCTTTTCCTTTAGTTTATGTTGAGGCCTATTGCTGCTGAGATTGCTGCTACACTGGTCGCCTTCTTCTTCATTTGTTGTTGCATGTGCGATAGAATAGTCAGATCATCTACGAATTCTAGATCGTCCAGATTCACTCTAACTTTCCACTGTATCCCATGCTTTCACTCAGATGTTGACGTCTTTGTAATTCAGTTGATCCCCGGGAGAAGGAGAATGTGTGGGAGTATATATAAAAATGACATTTATATTCATCCATTCAAACAGTTTTGATTTATTGACATGTTTTTTCATTGCATAATATGCATGACATGTGAATATTATTTCATCTTGTTTCTTTTCAAAAGACTAACCGACAGTGATAGTGGTTTGTATTTTGAAGCAACTGGCTTTGTTATAGATATTAAACATTTCATATGAGCGTAGGATTACACATGTCTATCTCGCATTACATTTATTCAGTTAGAACCAGAATAAAATGCGGAATTTTGCAGTTATGTTTGCATAGTTATAAAACAGGAAGCCCACGAGTTGTGAGAGATGATCCTAAACTTTTATGTAAGTGAATAGTAAAGCAGTAGAACTTATGGTCTTCAGACAATTATCAAGTTGTTAAATAAATCTTATATGCAACTGCAAAAAATGTAAACTATGATCAATTACGGTCCTTTACATTAATGACGAAATTCAAGTAAACAATGCCAAGTGAATATAAACTTCATCCCATTGCACAAGCAAGTCGCTATCAGCACTCATTAGCTAAGTGGACAATGCGATGGCCTTCGAAGAGAAGGGTGTTGGGTTCGAGTCTCAGAGTGAACATCAACTCTGAGACGCAGGTGCATCCAGCTGGCGAGTTCCGAAAGGGACGAAACGCGCATCCTGTATTTCACTGTTAGCCACCATCCATCTCCGCTTAAAAAGGCATTCAGTTTACAAGACTTCAGCGGGAAAAAACGTATTATCGCTGTGATTTACTAACACTTACGATTCATCATGTTGTTTAGTTCTTTTTCGAAATCGTTGATAGGCCAAATATTCTTTATCATCAATGCGGAAATAACGCAAACCACCTTATAAAAATAATAATGATAATATTAGCTAATAATACACATTATGATGCGTTAAAGGATATTGAGCAAAATATACTGGGAATATCTGTAAGGATCATCACTGAAATCTATCAAGTACCAAAGACCTTATTTATCCAATTTTGATTATAAATATTACTTAAACAAAGGGATATCAAATAAACAGTTTTATAGCCATTTTATGAATATTGTAGTTTAATTTTGACTTCCGGGTTAAGTATTATGCACAAAGAGAATTTTTTTATCACAAAGGGTTTTGTGGATATTATAGTCTCGCGCACGAGACTGAAAGATCTTGGGTTCGAATTTCGCGAAGTGGGATCGGGGATGCACAATGCTGAAGAGTCCCACAGTAGGAGGAAACGGCCATCCAGTGCTCCCATTTTTTCCATGGTGGTCTAGCTTCAATTGACTCATGATCTCAACTATTAAAATTTTTTAATGGTTAAAATTATAACACATATAGTTCAGAAAGGAGTTTTGTGGATATTATTGTAATTTTTTTAATAGTTGAAATCATGAGTCAATTGAAGCTAGATCACCATGAAAAACCTGGAAACACTGGACTGATCATAGTTTTTGTAATACGAAGATGGCATAATTAATATCATCATGTTTTAATTTCAATTCTAAAATTAAAAATGTTTACAAACGAATGAATTCAAGTTGAAATACTTCTATGAATTGTTGCTCATGTTCATTCATAACATCGTTCACATAACGGATGAATCGTTTAAAAAAATAACAAACTAGTACCCTATAAAATTAGGAAAACTTGAATAGGTCAGGTTTAAAATCATCGACTATTATCATCTAAGGTAAATCAACGATGGTAAATAAGTATTTTAATACAAAGTTAATATCATTTTGTTTTGTCTATTTTCAAATAGACATGAAGTACGTTTTCCTATTGAACTTAAGAGAGCGTCATAAAAAAAGTTTTGTTTGTTTGTTTCACTATCTAAGTAACTAAGTTATGGAAATAACAAACATCTTTTTGAAAGGATAAATAAATTTGATTCTATGAAATGTAAGTGATTTACACTGATAAATGTTAAAGTATTCTATGACATTTTACGATACAATTAGTAACTAAAACAATAAGTATGAGATATTCAATTAGGAAAAAAAACATGGATCTGAAACTAAGTACTAAATAGATTCAAGTTAACTATTGAATTAAGTTAATCCATTTTAAGTGAAGTTCAAAATTTTATTCAGTTAACAAGTGCTTTACTGTTTCCTCAAGTATATGCTAAATAATGTGCTTATTCTTTATACCTTACATAGATGAAAGTTAGGGAAAATCAACAAAAGAATCACTGATAAATAGTACACAAGTGATTCATCATATACCAAATAGGTCAGCGGCACCACCTGTAATTTCGGTACTATGTAACTCAAGCATAAATTGTTATAAATAAATAATATATTTGTAATATCACTTCTCTGAAGAAGTGACTTACACTAAGTCACGAAACGTCAGAAAATCTAATTTTCTACTCATCAAGCATAAATATTTGAATTGAAACATATTGGTGCCAGAAATCAATCGTCAGGAAGCTCATATGTAGGAAATTTTTTAGATTGCCTTCAGTTACATAACATAATATGCTAGTAAGATTAGGAAAAAAAGAAATTATAAATACATTCAGATCTAAATTAACTTCACTATTATAAGTTGTTAAAAACTTTCCGATAAAAGTCTTCAGATAAGCTCGTTTTACCTGACCGGTCATAAAAATATATTATCAGAAAACGAGTTTTCAACATAACACTAAACAGACAATCGTGTTATTTTGATAATTAAACACTATGAAGTAGGCTGTTTGGTGAGACTATAATTTATGAAAGATTTTTGAGCGACGCGAAAGTGACCTTGAGTGTGTCCACCGAATCCCTAGGACCAAATGATGGTTATAAACCAGTGTGAGGAATTCGAATTATGATTTACAGTTGATGATTAAGGTTATGAGTTAGATTTAGGATTCTCATCACGAACTGACATCATGTATAATACCAAAACTCTGTTTAGCCAAATGGGTGAATGAATTTCGCGCCAAAATCTAAGACTTATTATTTTATACCTCACTGCTTCGTCCATAAATTATAGTCTCACCTTGCAGTTTTCACTTTTTATTTATTTATTAAATTGTCAGATAAACTGTAAGAAAATAATCCAACTAATTAAATATAATCAAACAAAAGTTCAATTGATTCACACATAAGAATAACTCATTTTTGTCTATTTAAAGTGCCATTCTAATAAGATTATATTTGTAATAATGCTGTAATGATAGTTACATAGTATAAAAGCTATTCTGTTTGATAATGGTGCTGTCGCTGCTGCTGCTGATGATGGTGATGATGGAGATGACAACCTAAATTATAGTAATTATGTTGTTTGATTTAATACTTTAGCACTGAGACCATAAATTACTTAGTTTCAATCTTCCCACGATTAAAGTCTTTGTGAAAATGATATAGAAAGTAATTTGATGGATGTAAAAAAAAGACCATTTGTTTATTTAACCCTGAACAACTGAATATTACAATTTGTATGTGAATAAAATGTACAACATCTATTATATGTAAGTGTAAATGATACTCTTGATGTATTGAAATTTTAAAAAAATAATTGATTACTAAAGATTAATGTTTGAAATCTAAAAAAATGTTGACTATTTAAAATTTGTCTCTGTGAATAACCACAAGACAAAGATACATCTTCCATCGTGTTATGTTAGTCAATAATAATATTAAACCTTCCATTGTCAATTGTCAATATTCGATCAATTTTAACTACCTATTAAAGTTTTTTATGGGCTATAACATTTCTTTTCTTTAATGTACGTTCAATTATATATATATATATATATATATATATATATATATATATATATATATATATATATATATATATATATATATATATATATATATATAGGCTATGTGGCTATATAGAGCTGAAGGTCTCATATGAGACTAGAGGTTCGCCATTGGTATTGTGGATGGTTCGGCATTGCTTTGGCAAGTTTTGCTGACTGTTCATACACAAGATTGGTTTGCTGGTTAACCGATTCCATTCATACCGGTGGTTGCTTTTCAATGTTCTCAAGGGCCACTGTCATTGGGACATCGTAAGGCATGTCGCCATTACTAAAATTAACGAGTTTGACTGTCGTGTAAGTGGAATAGGTCAACTTTGGCCTGTTCATGCTGTGCATAATTGATTCATGCGATCATTGATCGGAATAACTATATATGTGACGTGAATGTGTATATGAATGGTGTGAATGGTCTACCAGGGTGCTTGATACCTGTAAGGTTGCACTACAGGATTGAGCTGTACTATTCAGATTGTAGCGTTCAAGCCTATATGGTGTCTGGCTCTCCTGTTAAACCGGATTGAGCTGTACCGCTTTTGCTGTCTGGATGGCGTCTGGTTCTCCTGGAAACCAATGTAAAATTGCACTGGCCCACAAGGGTATCCCTATTGTATAACTATTCAGTAACTAGATTATATATATTTCTCTTATTATAAGCTTCATTTTGACCTATAGATCATTATAATACGATTTATTGTTCTTAAGTTCTGTTCAGTTTATTAATTACCGTCTCCGACATTCACAACCACTTTTTGGTTTGATCTTGTACAAATGTTATTTCTTATTTTATGGTGTGATGTGATCTATTTGATTTGTAAATAAACCCAGTATGATTCGCATAATCGAAACTGTTATTGGTTATATGAACTAGAGTAGACGGGATAGGCGAACAGAGGACCAATAAAGACTCTAGGCTGTTGATATTGGTCGAACGTCATTGGTTTAGTACAGTACTAATATCGAATAAGTCGTATTTTGATTGACGAATAAATCACGTGATAAAAGCCGGGCTTCAAGTCACAACATTCAGTAACCGAATGAAACTAATCACCTATACAAATTAATTTTCATAAGATAATAGCCGATATGAAACATAATGAATAAATTTCAATGGCTGACAATCAGATTAGAAACGAAAGTACTTTTTGTGTTTCAAAACCGAATTAACATAAAAAAATATGATCTGATTTATATGAAATATGAAGTAGGTTCTTTTATCTGTTTGTAAATTAAAACGAAACGAATGGTACTGGGTTCGAGTCCCAGAGTGACCATCAACTCTGAGATGCAGATACATCCAGCTGACGAGTCTCAAATAGGACGAAACGCGCGTCCTGGATTCCACTGCTAGCCACTATCCATCATTGCTTACAAAATGCTTGGGAATTAAGGCAATATCGAGGCATACACATAGTATGCACATATGCCGGTAACAGACTGATCAATTGCAGTCTTAAACCTCAGTGGGAAGATACAAGCCAAATAATACCAAGTGAATTGAAAACTCAAGAGTTATAGAATTTTATGAGAAACTTTGAAAATTATCTTCTGTCTATCATGCTTAACAATTCCATGAAATTTCTAGACATTGAAGAGATGAAAATGACAATTCTTACTGATTGAGTATCATTATTATCATGAACAATGGCGAAACGTTTAAGGGAATCATTAATCATCAAAGTTTTATTGTATTTTTATAGTTACAAATGATTACAAATAATAAAGGTGAAAAATATGGAAATATTAGTTCGAACTTGTAATTAGGTTCTATATTTCAAGCAAATCATATAACATAAGCAACTTGTAATAGTATACAACGAATAAATAAATTCCATTTAATCCGTATTAATGTTGCGCTTAATTCTTAATTCTATTCTTAAGTTGTAATAGATAAATGAATAAATTTTAATTGACTGTTTAGTTGTTTATCCATGTAAAGAGAATATAATTGATTTGATAGTTTAAATAAAGTTTACATTTTTTGTTTGAATAAGTAAAAGAATACCCACTGTAAACTTTATTCATGATTAAACTATAGTTAAGCAACAGTACAACAATTAGTTCATTCGATTATGAATGTATTTTTGAATGATAATTATAAATTATATTTGAACTTCTCTTTCAATACATTTTATGAACTTAACCATTTCCAGTTATTTAAAATAATAATCCTACGTTGTAGCTGACTGACTGATGAAAATATCAGAAACAATAAGATTTATAGAATAAAGTAAGTTCTTTTGTTCTACAGGTTTTTATCAGCTAAGAAGAAGTCTAAAAAGATAAAGAGTTATGTGATTATATATATGTAATTAATATAAAATTTTTCAATAGTTCTTATCTATCACCCCTACCACCGGAAGTTGAAATCAAGGCACTCGGTCTCGCGAATAAACGCTTAATCACGAGATCACTTAACCGGAGGTATAAGTCTAACTTCAGTCAAGTTTTGATATTATACGACTATCTTATATTTCCTGTGGTGAATAAGTTCCTCAGAGCAGACAGAATTCAATTCTACTGGTCATAACTTCTCAATAGAACTCCAGAAATTTCCGTTTTGAAGATATTCACTAATAAGCATATGATTATTATCAGTATACGGATTGTGGACACCGACATGATTTGTTTTGGGTGTGTACTTCCGAGATGTATATATTAAAACGAAGTAGCTAACTAGTACTTCCAGGTCACCAATCATTGTTCAGCTTATATCTCTCCATGATTTCAATGCCCCTAAATGCCCTGGTACGGCCGAGAGTGGGGAGAGTCAGCTCTCTCTCTCTCTCGAAACGCCATCTGCCAGGGAAGTCCTACTCACTGCCTTCTCGCACCACGGGTGCTGTCTACGAAATTGAGAGGACGAAAAACTAATGTTCGGCGCTTTGACCGGGTTGATGGGTATAAAGGATCCATCAAGGGGAAATGGAAAACCCTCATTCCAAACCAATGGGGTACATCGGCTCCAGTACCCTGAGGGAACAAGTGTCATATGAACCAATTATTGGTCACTGGCTACCAGGGACCTGCATCTCCTGACGTCGCTCCACTGCCTTGTGGATCAGACCTTCAGGTCGAAGGCTCCGAGTTTGGCCACCTATGAGAACCACCTGCTTTGGTTTGGGCACCTGGGCAGTATCATGGCTCACACACAAATCAAGTGACTTGTGTGGTGCATATGTATTTGGTGCCCCTTCGTACCAATATCTATGTGTTAAAGTAAATAATAAAAATGATTTCAATGAAATGATATAGTCAATTATTATTTTCATTGTTATTATGTAATCTTTTTATTCTTCCTTTTTTATTTCTAAAATTTAAACATGCATCGGTTTTAACTTTGTTTAATCCTATATTTTATGCTCTGATGTTTCCTTTCCTTCATTTTACTAAAGCATGTTATACTTCTATGTGTATTTGTATTACTCCTTATAATTTAGGTTGTTTTGTAAACGATGTAAATTCATAAAATATAATGAATTCATTTTATTCTCGGAAGCAGTCTTTTTTCTTCCTACTTTGTTTAACTTTAATCAAGGAATTGGTTTCTATGAAAATGATAACATTATTGTATTGGTTTTTTTATGTAGTTTTGTTCCATCAAAATTATCCATCTGAGCTACAAATCACTACCATCTTATTATTGTATCATATTAAAATAATTTCGAAAAAAGGAATCAAATACTAACCAAACCATCTAGCTCAGAGAACAAAACTCCGCCGAGAAATCATCGACCTGAGATAAAAATCTTCTCCACCATCTCAGGAATCAATCACCTTAATCGTTCACTCCTTATTATAAGTTGGTATTTTTTAGAAAAAAAAATACAAAATAACTTTAAACCCTGCCTCTGAAAAGAAGAAAAACAAATAGGAGAACAAACCAGAACATACCATGAAAACGTGGTTCATATTCATCATTGATTTCTGATGCTCCTTTCAGAACTATTCGTGAATTAAACTGAAATATGCACATGAAGAAAATAATACCAGTTTTAATTGTTTATGGTTAGAATAAAAATAATGAATGATGAAACTTTGTAAAATAAAATAAAAGTAAATAATTTCACCATGATGGGTTTGTGCAATTGAAATAAAATCTACACAATAAACCATTGTCATTTGAAGAAACAGTTTAAATTAGAGTGCATTGGACAACATCCTGGATCTGAGATTGAGACTTTTCAGTACTGACGACTGATAACCTTGAACAGGATAGAAACTGGAACATTCACATCTCATAGGTAACAATATATTGCAGAGATAATAAGTTAATATTCGTAAGTTTATAGTTTTAACTCCAATAAAATGTTGTTGTTAAATATAACTGTTTCACTAACAACTTGATCACATACAGTTGCCTTAGTAAATAATAAACTAGTGCTTAGTAGTAGCTTATTTTAAGTTTCTAAAACGTCTTTTTCTAATTACTGTGTTTTACGAATTCACTGTAAGCAAAAGAAGAAGAATAACTCATTGATAAAAGTAAATGGTCGAATTTACATATTACACTTCAACTGAACTTAAAAATACAAAGTCGTTGATTCAATGGCATTTAACTCTCAGCAAGACTTATGATTCTTGAATTTAATCCAGCATGAAGCCGTCAGTGTGCGTCCTTAGATAGTCCCAAACTAAGAAAATAAACTTATCCAGTGCTCCCTGGTTTTCAAAAGCTTTTGCTAACACCGCTTCGTGGCATAAGCTGTCTTACACTGTAAGGTTTCATTTTGTTTATCAGTTTTATTTATTTATTTGAACACATAAATATCAGTACAAAGAGGCAGCAAATACATATGCACCACACAAGTCACTTGATTTGTGTGTGAGCCATGATACTGCCCAGGTGCCCAAACCAAAGCAGGTGGTTCTCATAGGTGGCCAAACTCGGAGCCTTCGACCTGAATGTCCGATCCACAAGGCAGTGGAGCGACGTCAGGAGATGCAGGTCCCTGGTAGCCAGTGACCAATGATTGGTTTATACGACACTTGTTCCCTCAGGGTACTGGAGCCCATGTACCCCATTGGTTTGGAATGAGGGTTTTCCATTTCCCCTTGGTGGATCCTTTATACCCATCAACCCGGTCAAAGCGCTGAACATTAGTTTTTCGTCCTCTCAATTTCATATACAAAACCCCACCACGAGAAGGTAGTGAGTAGGACTTCAATGATATATACTTGCACACGTCGTAATGTAACATTTTCAATAGCATTATCTCATGGTACACAAATTTCAACAAACATCACTTATCAGTTTATCTAATTTCTGATAGTTCCAGATCAGATCTTTAATGATTATCTAACTTAGACTGGCTAGTGATTTCACTGAAATTTCAGAATTGCTAAGGAGAAAACTGATATATATATTGCTTAATCACGACTATATGATTGATTCTAATTGAAAAAATCAATATAACACTGAGACAATCTATTAATCTCTATTAAAAAAAATAAAAGACAAATATTTTATTACACATTGTTTTTCATTAAAAATAGTCTCATTTTCTTCGATCAAACTCATAATGTTTTAGTATCTTGTTTAAGTAAACTACTTTAATTTCAGTAATTACTGAATATATATCTTTATGGTTTTGCAAACACATATATATATATATATATATACAACACGTAGATTATAAAAATGATTAAGATGGCTAGTTATGTAAGCATGTGAATTCACTGATAAAAAGAAGTGTTTAACAGTAAAAGTGTTTCACATAATAAACAATATTAAATATTTATATTGGTTTGTTTTATTCTCGTCGTTGATATTAATAATTGCAATTGATCAACCTCTTTTAGTATATAGTCATCTTGAGCAGATTACCTCTGTATTGCTAGTAGTAGCAAGCAACAGATTCTGGGACTTGCCTTCATCTGGTTTGGGACGTTTTAGCTGAATTTACCATTTCACGATGAAAATACGCCAAAAATTAGTAACTAGCTGTAGCCCTTAACATCAACAACCAGCAAATACCAATTTATGTAAATAATATCAATGCCTTCTACACAAGCTAATAGTTATAAAATATCACTAGCTTAATGGTTTGCGCTTTGGGTATTTTAAACTAAAGGTACTGGGTTAGAGTCTTAATGTGAGCATTAACACCGGAATACAAGTAAATCCAGAAGATGAAATGCACGTCTGTATTTTACTGTAAGTTACCAACCAACTCTACCAATTTACTGAATATTATCCCAAAATAATATTTTTCTACAAATGAAGTACTAAACTTTAGGATCAGGTTTCAACACAATGAATTGAATCAAACAAGTATCTTGGTATTTATTAATGTTTGAATAAATATTATTCAAAACGTTTTGAAATACAAAAGTATATCTTCAACTGAAAAAAAACCCTGAAAGAACACTCATGAATAGTCGGTGTTATTTTACTTCATCATTAAACCATTACAATATAACTACGACGAATGCTTAAACAACACAGAATTAAAGTCACCTACAGTGATATCGATTACACTTTAGAAGGTTTTAATTAGAATGAAAGATAAAATTCTTTTCATTTCAACATAATACATTAGACTATAATGTTAATGATAATGTACTTTTATATTTGAAAAGCAAACGATATCTTATTATGGGTTAAAATACATTTAGGCTATACATAGTAAATTCTTAGTACTCTCGTAACAGTGGTTCCAAATTCTACAAGTTTTGAAAATATTTTAAAAAAAAGTACTTCTATAGAGAAATCTTACCGTTGCCAAAAAATCATAACTAATCAATCAAAGATGTCTTATGTCCCCTATTAATAATCATGTTGTAAACATATATGGAAATTGTATTGTCTTATTATACTGTAATTCATATATCTATTCACGGTAACATGCATACACAAGATATTCATCAATTTTAAGTAAACAATAATTACATGTCTAGACATGTTTGGATATATACTTTAATTTATCCAACTTTTATGATGATAAAACTTGTTTTAACTTGGAAAAGTTATTTATCTACTATACATTGATTGATCTATGCAAGATCTTGAAATGTTAGAAGAATCGATTTTTCTATCCGTTCCTCATAGGTCACTCTCTGTCACTAACTCTCATTATAGTAGTTATGACTAAAAAGTGAGGAAATAAAAAGAATAACTTAAATTAAACTTGGGAATCGAAAAGGATCATTAATGTTACCTATTTTTTTACAAGTTTTGCATTTTTTTTTCTTACTATATATCAGTGATTTCAGCTACTTTCATAAACTGATAATTAATACAGATTTATAATGAACTATTAGATAATGAAAGATTTAATTCACAATTTCTTAAGCACTACTTCAATCTAGTTATTGTAAGTGAATTCCTATTGTTTACACATTCCTATTTGATTTCTGTAACCAAGACGTGTCGTAGAAAAGTATATAAGCGAATACACATAGAAATGGGAGTCTTTCTTAGTTAACCGAAATGATAAGTATGACCATTAGTATTCTTAACTGGATTTCAATCATAATTGTATATGAATACATTCAAGAAGACCATGATGTAGTGTGATTTAATGATCTACAATTATACTCAACCTAAAATCTAGACAATTAAATATGAAATTTGTTATAAGTTCACACAATATGTATTACATATAAACATATTATAATAACGAATTAGATTTGCAGTGAATGGTTGAATGGTGTAATATATTAGTTCAGTATTTTATAAACAAGCTTTTTAAACCCTTCATTTATTTAATATTTAATATGCTTTATACATTTTGACAATATACAGAAGCCTGAATCAATCAAATGAAAGTATATTTACAGTTTTTTTACGATAGTCTTTGATAATTAGCCATATTAAAAGATCGTATATGTTATGAACTGACCCCATTTGTAAAACTGTCGATCAACTAGGAAGTAATAGATAGATATTTCATATTAGTTCACGACTCTTCAGAAGTACTCACCAACGATTCCACAAATATTGGAATCAAAAACCTCATGTCTTAATGTAAGTTCAATAACTTAAGAACATTGACCTTATATTTAGATATGCTTGAATGCTATTACGAGTTCACCTTACTTGGTAAACGGAACGAAGGTCGAAGACAGAGTGACACGATAGGCTATTCTAATATGTTGTTCCAGGCCCTGCTAACTAGATCAAAAAATCTTGATGAGGCGTAGAGAAGGTATTCTACAAGCACCCAGAAAATACGAGGTCACTTATTAATACAATGATAGAAACGCCCTTGTGACAGCCGAAAAACAGCGTACGAAAAAAATCCGTCAACCGATGACAGTCAAGGATTTCCGAGTGGGGAATGTAAGCTGTAGGTCAACTAAGCGTCTCTTGGCGCGAAAACATAAAATTCAAATTTTCAGAATAAAATTACAAAATAAGAATATTTTCCAAGTGAGTTCTGAGGATCTAACGTCCTCAACATATTTGACGCTCCATATTTCCAACTTTAGTCTATCTTCAGCTAAGCTAACATAAATAACTGAAGTGACTAGCTTCATGATGGATTTCCAAAGGCTTCTTAAGAAGTTGTTAATTCGAGAGTCCATCAACATAGTGAGTATAACTCAATGATTACTATACAGCATCTTCGAATGACTAACGAAAAGCTTGGTTCTATGGTGATACATAAAATTTAGTCTTTCTTTAACTGATTAGGAATAGTTTTCACTATTAAGTGAAAACTATTAAATAAATCTAAGCACCAAGTCATTTAATTTTAATTATATTAAACAGTTAGAAATGCTTTTTATAGATTAAGATAATGAGGAAAATATATGAAACAAAAAAACACTTACCTGCCTACTTATTAGTATAAGTGTCAATTATCTGGTGGAATCATGAATACTAGATCGTTTTATTATTCTACTTTATGACTTTGTAACAAAACGCATTTACAGCCACGCACTCGGTAGAATCTATGATCACTAGAACCCTTGACAACCCAAAACTCTCTACTTATCCTGTTCAAATACAGGGTATTATCACCATTTCATTCCAACAAGTCACATGGTACAAGTTTTATTCGATGGTTGATGAGGACTAAGTAATAATCAGTCAGATTAAGTTAGAAGGTACTTATTACTAAAAATTTATATCATTTTTCTTGAATCAAAGTTATCCGAATTATTACTAACCTATTAAAATCAGACAAATTTATATATTCGTATTAATATAAGGTATCATTTGTCCTAATTTATATTATCATAGTAAAACAAAACAAAAAATAGTATAATCAACAGATACCTACTACTGGATTTCGACTAATCACTTCATTTGATCTATGTCTAGATCTTTTTTTCAATGGATGATAAAATATTGGCATATAAATGTTCAATGGATTGGGCCACTTTGAGCTTAAATAAAGAAGAAAAAATAAGTGAATGGAAGTTATAATAATAAAATTCTTGGAATAAATTGTGAATGAATTGTGAATAGATAAACTGATTGGTTTTTGTTGTAATAGATTTTACTTCTTATGGTAAAAAATCTGTAGGAATGGCGAATGTACTTTTATTATGACCATTTTATACCTTAATCATGGAGATTTTGTAAAGTGTAAAAGTAATTTCCACCAAACAATTATTGAAACTTATGGTGTACTTTAGAATTGATCTAATCGACAATGAGACAATAATTTCTCAATGAAATCAGATGAAGACAAAGCCGTATTATACATTGACTGTAGTCAAAGATGTAGACAGTTGGTTTCTAACGTAATAGTATGAACGTATTTTGTCCAGCATAATACCTGAAGAACTTTATAACAGTTTTATGTAGTGATCATTGGAAAAACTTTTTGATAATTCTTGAACAAGGACAAAACAGATATTCTTTACCACTTGGTTTACATTAGTTCCTCAAATGAAGTCAGTTCACTATAAAAACCACTGTCTTAGTTGTCCACTCAGAGTGATTAAGTAAGGAAAAGCTATTCGCGACTATTCCTCATATCATTTTTAATGTTACATAACGAATGAAATGGAAGTGAAATAATTTAATAATATATATGAGCTAAATTCAACCGACGTATTGACTTAAGGTTATTAACTCCATGACAATTCGAGATCGGTTCAGATGTTGTAGTTTCGGATGACAGTATAAAATTCATAATTAAACCACTTAGCTTAATTACTGTGTCTCTATTCATACGAAATATTATCAGGGGATTTCGGAAGTGAAATTTAATATCATTTAAAGACAAATCATATTCTGTCCATCATTTATTGATGATCAAATAGAGAATTATGTTGGCAAAATTTCGCTATCAAAAAATGTTATAATCCAGTAGCTGACCATAGATTCAGAAATATTTCTCAAATACTTTAATACATTTGAAAATATCCGAATTAATAACAGCTAGATAGCCACCGAAAATCAAGGGGTATTGGATATCTTTCTCATTCTTTATTGAGACTGCCTAATAACACACAACCTCACACAAATTTGAATACAGGAATTTCAAAGGTTATAACGGGGTCATTGAGTCACACAGCTTAAAATCATCTGTTCATATTTTCAAAATGGTTCGAATTACTTTTCTGGTTAGCATTTTTTTAGCGAGTTAGTTTTTTACGGGATAGGATCGCTAGCCTCATGCCTAACCCTCCTCCTTTACCCAGGCTCGAGACTGGCAGTAATTCTAAAAGAGCTACAGGCTAGAAAGGACTGCACAGAACAGGGTTGTATGGAGAATGCTGGTGAGCCACCTATGCTCCTTCACGAGGAGAAACAGGCGCAAGTAAGTAAGTAATATTTTCTGTAAACCATTTGTTATCTACTTCCCTGATTGATATATAGCTGAACGTTTTATACGCCGGATCCTTCAGTTTGAACTTCGAAAATCTGTGATTATTATTTACTTAGAATAATTTTGTGGAGATGTCGTGCATCCTAAATTTGGTTTGCGTCACAGACATACTGTGATATGTTCTACTGATGTCAATAGATATAAGTAGTATATATCATCAATCGAAAGTCACATGCCTGGAAGCAGAAACTTATCAATATCAAAGAAAACACAACGAGAGCAGACAATGATTGATGTGGAAATGAAGAAACAACCAATTCTCAGACGATTGATTGACATTTTGCAAATGAAATATTTTACTCTGTCGTTCTCAGATTTTACTAACACACTGTAATTTTCTGTTGAAGTATATTCGATTGTCCCCACTTGTCTTCTCATTCACCACAATACTCTCAGATTTCCAATGATTCTCTAAATTATATTAATCTATCATAAAATCTGTATTGTGTTATTAGAAAAGGGAAGTATGCTCTATTTCCATGAATTCACATATATTTGTTCATTAAATCATACAGAAAATGTATTACTGAATATGTTTTAGTAAGTGAAATGCTACCAACCATTGGACTAAAAGGAAGGATAATATTTAAGTCATTTTTTATTTATTATTTATTTCAGCATATAAATATTGGTACAAAGAGGCACCGAATACATATGCGCCACATAAATCATTTGATTTCTGTGTAGGTTATGATACTGCCCGTGTGCTCAAACCGAAGCAGGTGGTTCTCTTAGGGGCCGCATCCGGATTATTTGACCTAAAGGTCTCACTCAAAAGAGAGTGGGGCAACGTGAGGAGATGCAGTCCCATGTTAGCCGATGACCAATAATTGGTTCATACGTTATTTGTTCCTTCAAGATACTAGAGATACCAAATAGCTCACTAGAACTGATAGACATGAATAACGTTAATTTCGATGATATGTAAGGATTACTTTAACATATCAATTAAATAAACATTGAAAGTCAAATATCACTAGGTAATTGTTTAGTTTAATCATTTCATAAAAGAATTGATCACAATTATAAAAGTAGTATATTTGTAAATTACCTACCTTGGTGTATTCCATGCAGGTCCAAGATCTAACCATAATTCTTTTGTTTTAACTGATAATAATTTAAATATTGACGTAATAGTATTTTCATTCAATAATGGTTCAATTACATCAACTACAATATTGGAATTGTAATTAGTAATTTGTTTTGATTTTGCAACTGTATGAACTTTACGTACAATTCTTATTAAATAAACAAAAATTTCTTTTGATATATATGGTACTGATTTACGAATTTTTTCAATAATATTTAATGCATATTTAACTTTTTGTAAAGAATCGATTGCTACAGTAGAATCTGGCGGTTCATCATTATTTTGTTTTACATTTACAGCTATAAAAAAAATCAACGAAATGATGAATTATCAGTATGAGTTTGTGGAGATTAATACGTTTTTTGATTGAGAACATGATCCGATTGATGTTAGATCACCATTGAAAACCTGGAAGCACTAGATGGCCGTTTCGTTGTATTGTGGGACTCCTCAGCAGTGTGCATCCACAATCCCGCTCAGAGAATTCCAAGTCAGGGCCTTTGATCTCGTGAGCAAACGCTTAACTTCTAGACCTCTGGAATCGTGGATGTATAGTGCTGAGGAGCTCCACAATAGGACGAAACCGCCGTTCAATGCCTCCAGGTTTCCAATCGTAGTCTAACACAAATCGGTTCATGATCTCAATTAAAAAATGAATTATTTGATGAAGAAAGAGAGTTAATAGAAAATTTTGCAAAATTAAGTTCATAATTTTTAATTAGCTCAAGACAAAACAGCATGAATTTAAATGCGACGGAGTATAAATTCTTTCAATAAAATCCAATTAAACCTTTGTTTAGCCACGCTAGGAGGTGTTCACGAGCACGAAAACGTAAATTCCTAGAACTTTGACTGATATGACTCGCTGAACAGGAGCAGAGATTATATGGATCGCCAAAGGTACACAAACCGGGGATCCCATTAAGACCTATTCTAGATATGTACGATTCTCCTTACCATACTATAGCTAAATGGTTGTTAGCTGTATTGAAACCTCTCCATGAAAAGCTTGTGAAGCATAGTTTTAAGGATGTATTCCAATTTATTGACAAAATCAAAAATGCAAATACGGTGGGATTAAAGATGATGTCACTGGATGTAACGTCGTTATTCACAAACGTCCCACTCATAGAGACTGTAGAATACATAGGTGAACAACTGATTGAAAATGGTATTGAAACTACTGTTCCTATCAATGTCGTGAAAGAGTTATTACTCAAATGCACCATGAATGTGAACTTCAAGTCCAACAGTGAAATATATAGACAAACAGATGGTGTTGCAATGGGTTCACCACTGGGACCTATACTAGCTGATATTTTTCTAGCCAAACTAGAAAATGATCCATTAAAAAAATTATTCAAAACTTCACATTTTAATGTAGATATATGGATGACACGTTCATCCTCCGTAAAGATAATATGTCACAGCAAGAGGTTCTTAGGCGATTTAATGAAGTACATCCAGCCATTCAGTTTACATCTGAAGAAGAGAGTGATGGTCGAATAGCCTTTTCGGACGTTCTCTTAACTAAGAGAGCGGATGGATCGTTAAAAAGGGACTTAACCAGAAAAAGTATATGGACTGGGCAGTATACTCATTTCCTTAGCTTTGTACCTCTACAGTACAAACGAAACTTGATAAAAACCCTTAGTTACCAAATACGCACTATATGTTCTGCTGAAGACGAACTTAACACGTTGCATAATACTCAGGGAGAACGGTTACCCTTGAAAGTTTATAACTAAATATATGAACACGAAGGTGAAAATAAGTGGAATGCAAACGGTGAAGAAGAAATCTCTGTTCATGCGTCTACAATTCAGAGGGGATATGGCTAAAGAAATATTAACTCAGAGATTGCGTAGGACAATACAAAAATCCTTTAACGCCGGAGAACTGCGATTAATATTTTCTACGCGCTCAATGGTGACACCGATGCTAAAAAATGAATTACCTAGAAAAACCTAATTAGTTGAATCATTCGTATATTGTTACTTTTATATACGATAAAAGCGACTGTATAGGTACTAGATGTTTTAGATGTATGTATACATAATATAGAGTTTTGGGTAGTACAACTGCTGTATAGCCCTATTTGTTTGTTTCTTTCAATTTGAAAGATAATCATTATTAAAATTTCTCTTGAAATAAACAACTATAACACTCCTAGATGTCTTTACAGGCATTGTTGTTAGAGGATGCATTATAAATAATCTATTGAAGTGCAATGCAGTCTACTTTTATTTGTTTAGTATAGGTAAGTCAAATTTAAAGTTCGCTGTCACTATCTTTAAAATTTAATTAGAAGTTCATAGCATTCGTTCTATAGAAATACAGAACACCAAGTAGGCATGAAATATTCCTGAAATCTTTTTGCAGTAATTATGAGTGATTTGAGTTTCTTATTTAATAGCTTCATAGGGAACCACTATTTCAGAAATCCGTGCTCTGTATCCTTAAGCTTCTTAGAATCTTGGTAAACAACAAACCTCTCAGTGTGTAAATATTTATCCTAAACGATAAATTGACTGTTTTCTCAGTGATAATGATGCAAATTTTATATAGTTTACATCACGGATTAATCCTAGTGAAACAAATAGCGAAACCAGGAAATACTGGGCATCTATTTTAAAACTCCTCAGTAAGATTCATTCATGACCCCACTCCATATCGAACTCAGGAACTTCAGGTCTTGGGGTGAGTGTTAAATCATTAAATCATTGCACTGAAATTCACTGATTCACATATCTAAATTCACTCAACACTTAGGATTGTGCAACTATCTTTCAATGCTTCTGGTGGCTAACTATTTCACTCCTCATATGACTGAGCTCAACCGATAACGACTTCTGACAAGAACTCCAAGAATTACCTCTAGAAATTAGTCACTTAGAGAATATATCATTGTTATTAGTATAAGGTACTTATGGATTATAGTTTCTTTTTTCTTTCAGCAATAATTGGCTAACAATAAAAAATTTAGAACCAGAGTGGTGTTATCTATCTTCTTTCAAACATTTCAATTATTGATTCTATCTTTAATCCAATGAGTAGAAAAATTAGATGTCCTAACGTTTCATGACTAAATGTAAGCCATCATTGGATTAATACAATGTTTTTGTAAACGTATTTTCTTTTTTTTTAAAAACAATTACTTTTGGCTCCAACAATCAATGTCGAATCGAGAAAACTGAGCAGTGCACGTGATTCGAATCTAGGACCTTTGTTATCGGGCGCAAACGCTTAACCACTAGGCTACTGGGCCAGTATCCAGTAGTGCTAATATCTTACTTCAACTAATCAATGAAATTGCACAACTATCTTTTATTGCGCTGAGATAGATACCTGTCTCTACCTGATATGGATTAGTTCCACTGGTCAAGGCTTTTGAATGAACATAGAACATAGGTTAGACATTAAACCTTAATTACTTATCAGTCTTCATAGATTATGTCTTTTGGTCGAATAGTATAACAAGGTTACAAAATAAGCTTTGACAATGAAACTGCTCACACAATGCAATTCAATAAAGAGTTTACATGGATTCATCTAAAGTAGTTTCTACAATGAAGATAACTATTATAAATGTTTATTGAAATTATTATACACCGGCCTATTTAAAATGAAAATGTTGTTGTTGTTGGAAAAAAAAGATACTATTTGATCAATAATTTTATTGTTAGAAAACTCACTCTGTTTATTGTCAAGTTCGTCTGGTGAAGATCTAAAACTTTTTCTAAAATCCTTTTCAAACCATTCAATATCATCTAAACATCTATTTAACATATACAAATCTTGACCGTATGCATCATCCTAAAAATAATAATAATAAGAAGATAAAGATATACAACTACTTGTTCGAACATGCTACAACAAAGGAGAAACGATTGATTTATATGTACAAATAATGTTAATGTAAGCATAAAGTATGTTGAATACAAAGTTCCTCTATACACATTTTCTAATAAAAAACACATTTTGTACTAACTAAGTTAATCGCTAATATTTAACTCTACTGTTAGAATTATTTACAAATGTGTTTAATGGTTGATATAACGGATGGTTTAGAATATTTCCTCTCTCTCTCTCTCTCGCTCATGTTTACTATGATAATACGTGAATACGATAATTAGACTAGTCACGTTATATCAGATCCACGATTTCACGATCCAGAATAAAGAACCAGAATATAGACTAGATAATAATTTATTCAATACAATTACAAGCAATTACTTTCAGTGAGTTCGAAACCACAAATCAACAAGAGGAAAAGAAATTACATATTTAATAGTTATTAAATTGAATGCCTGTTTGTTCACGCTCAATGATCAATCATATTTTACTTACAGTACCACATACCAATAAGGGAAACAATAAAATGTAAATTGAACAATTTATCAAGTGAATGCCCCTGGATTTTTTTGATTTTACTTGCTCACTGAAATTTGAAGCCAGAAATTATCTACTATAAATACCACAACTTTCTCTACTGGGTTACATAATAATAAAAGTAATAGTCATTAGAATTTACATTAAAGTATCCTACTTACAGTATTGTTTGATTTAATAAACAATGGATCATTATTATTATTATTATTACTATCATTTATTTTCTTCTCTTAGCTAGCCACTATTCTAAGGATTTCATTGACCAAAATTAATATCTTGATATTCAGATGTAATGAAGAAAGTAATAACAGGTAAACGAATGAATACGTTCGAAGTAAAGACCGGTGTCAGACAAGGGTGCTTACTCTCACCCTTTCTTCTTCTCCCGAGGATCGACTGGATTACAAAGACGTCAACATCTGAGTGAAAGCATGGGATACAGTGGAAAGTTAGAGTGAATCTGGACGATCTAGAATTCGTAGATGATCTGACTATTCTATCGCACACGTAACAACAAATGCAGAAGAAGGCGACCAGTGTAGCAGCAATCTCAGCAGCAATAGGTCTCAACATAAACTAAAGGAAAAGCAAGATTCTCTCATACAACACTACAGACACCAATCAAATCACACTTGACAGAAAAGATTTGTAGGATGTAAAAACCTTCACATAACTGGTCAGCGTCATCGATGAACATGGTGGATCTGATGCAGATGTGAAGGCGCAGATTGACAAAGCAAGAGGAGCATATCTACAACTGAAGAACATCTGCAACTCAAAACGACTGTCAACTGCCAACACCAGAGTTAGAATTTTCAATACAAATGTTAAGACAGTTCTACTGTATGGGGCGGAATCTTGGGGAACTACGAAAGCAATCGTTGAGAAGATACAAGTGTTTATTAACAGTTGTCTACGCAAAATACCTCGGATCCGTTGGCCAGCATTATCAGCAACAACCTACTATGGGAGAGAACAAACCAGATGCCAGCGGAGGAAGAAAGTAGGAAGAAGCGCTGGAAGTGGATAGGACACACATTGAGGTAAGCACCCGACCGCATCACAAGGCAAGCCCTCACTTGGGATCCTCAAAGCCAAATGAGGAGAAGAGGAAGACCATAGAACACATTATGCCGGGAAATGGAGACAGGCGTGAGAAGAATGAACATGAATTGTATAAAACTAGAAAGGGAGGCTCAGGACAGAGTGGATGGAGCATGGTGGTCAGCGGGCTGTGCTCCACTGGGAGTAACAGGTGTAAGTAAATAAGTAATCAAAAGAATGAATAGACAAAAAGGCATTAAAATTTGATAGAATTTCTATAAATTTAGATTACTAAAATGTCGTGATAATTATTATTGATAACATCTTATTAAGACTATGTATGAAATAGATAATTTTATGACAAGTACACAAGCGTGATACAATTAGATTATGGTACAGCATTAATTCATTGTAATTGAGTGAGGAGAATATCTCCCAACTGAAGTTCATTTGATAATCGTAATCTGTCTGAGTTGAATTGGCCTAAAGTCAATCACATAAGCAAGGATGTACTTATTCTTTAATTTTACTTAAATATCTAAGTTTAGAATTATCACATACTTTTCATTCCCCTTATTCGATCATTTTTTCCGACACTGGATCATGTGTTTTGTGGTCTTATTATCGTGGACTGTCTACAGCTAGACAACCTATAAAACAATGATGCATTGCATAGATTTCCAGTCTTAGTATGGGACTCCTTGGTAACATGCATCCATGACCACTACAGAGGTCGGACTTAGGAAATTTGAATCTTATAGTAGGTGTGTAACCTTTAGACTAATAAGTCACAAAGAAGTGATCCATATTTCCAACTACAGTTGGTTAGTTACATGTTGTGAAATTCATCTATTTAAAAAAAATTAGTCCCTTTGATAAATTTTGATAATGCAATAAGATGAAGTTTATCAGAATTATGTGGTATATTTGCGCAATACATTTCGAACAATCTGATCACACATATACTTGTTAAGACATTTTTATATGAAAATAAAATGGTCAACTAGATAGGTTATAAAGGTAAGCCTTCAAAAAGAAAAAAATAATAATAAAGTACACAGAACCAATGCGATAACCACTCTAGATAATAAATCAGTATTACCCGGGTAGGTTAAGGGTAAGGGCAAATTGAAAACCTGGAAGCAGTGTTCCCGCTCACGGGATGCGCACTGTCGATGAATCCCACAATAGGACGAAACGGCCGTCCAGTACTTCCAGGTTTTCAATGGTAATGTAACATCAATCAGCTCATGATCTCAATCAAAAACTTAGCAATCTCCACAACCCCTAAACTGATAGTTTCTAAGTTGTCTCATGTTTTATTTATTATGAACATCTTACAGTTTTTGTTAAAAGTAATTTTTTTTTTAAATACACAAAAATTTGTATAACAAGTTCACAGTAGTAAACCAATTGGTTGTTTAGTGAGAATAATATTTCATTGTTACATAAGAGAAATATTTACATAAAATGAATTGATTGATTTCTAATAGACAACTAATATACTTTAATGAATAGAATATTGAAGGAAATATGAATATTAAACTAATTGCTTAAATTAATATGATTCTGATCAATGTATAAATGATCTCCTATGAATTATGTCAATCAATAGTATCTATCGTATTGTAATGTATATGGATAATTAGTTTACTAACGTTATTGTTATTGTATAGGATCTTAAGCTTTTTCTGTAAGATGGATTGAAATAATGAAAGAATTTCAAGTCAGTTCATAATGATTAATTTAGGGATTTATTTATTTATTTATTTAATTCAAAATGAAAGACTATTGAAATGTACTTGTCTTGGATCCAAAAAAAAGTGATGATGGGTAACTTGAAAGTCTGAATATAAAATACAACGATTGTATTAGATTGTGGTGATTTTTTAAAGTAAACTGATGTACTACGTGATGTTGTTACTTTTTTTAAAATAAGAAAAGTTTTATTTTTCTACAAAACAATATAATTAGGTTAATGTTGAGTATTTAAGTTGAAAGAATGTACCATCGGATGCACAGCATAGATTAAAGTTATGTGATGTGTCATTGAAAATCAAGAAGCAGTGGACAGCTTTCTCGTCCAAGAATCCGTGATTTTAGCAGCACTCACTCAATAAATGGCTAAGGATAAAAAAGTCACCTAGAAATCGAAATTTAAAGCCAAACTACGATTCTTTGTTGATTATTAAGTATCTCTAAGATAAATTTCGAAAGTTTTGCTATAAATTCGTGATTGTTAGAGTTCGGTGTTTAGGGTCGAAGAAAGTATCCACTATTTGAAATAAATGAATTTCAATAATGCAATAAGAAGACGAAGTTTATCAGAATTATGTGATTTATTTGCACAATACATTTCGAACAATCTGATCATACAATTTGGGTTCGAATTTCATGAGGCGAGTTCATGGATGCACATTGCTGAGGAGTCTCATACTATTTTCTGAAGAAGTGACTTATACTGAGTCACGAAACATCGGAAAATTTGATTTTTCTACTCATTGGGTAATAAAAATCTACTCAGTGCTTAATTTGTTCGAAATTATCAAGTCAAACCTTGATAATAATACCTACAAACTCATCTTCCATTGTGTTTTCTTATTCTATACAAACAAACATTAACAATAAAGAGGTCCAAGCTTGGACCGAAATGCCAGATGAAACGTTGGATTCACTTTAAATTCTTTCGCTGAGATTTTACAAATACATTCTTCCTAATCAAGTCAATCTGTTTTGATGATTGAAAACTTATTAAGTAGGTATCATTACCATGGTTTGACTTGATATTTTAAATAAATTAAGCATTGAATAAATTGTTATTAACAAAATCACTATATTTGTAATATCCTAATGAGTCGAAAAATTAAAGTTTCTGATGTTTCGTTACTCATTATAAGCCATTTCTTCAGAGAATACAAAATCAAATCAAAATTAATCCAAGTTTATATAGTACAAAGGAACAACACAAGTGTATGAAATAATATTCAATACAATCAGTTAATTAGTTTACAATGTTCGAACTATTACAAAACAGTTATATGATAGGAATGCATTCAAATGAATCTTTTATACTGTTTATAGTGCTTACTTTTATTTGAATTCAATGAAAATGGATCTATTTTAGTCTTCTTCTTCTTCTTTTCATTTATCATTAAACTAAGTGTATAGTTTGTATTATAAATGATAACAAATTGAAAACAAAAACACTAGAAGTTGTTACGAATTCCATTATCTATTCATGTGACCATAATATAGAGATTAATTAAGATATTCTTATCGATTGAAGTTCGGTCAATATGTGAGATCTAAATTTAACTAAGTAAATTATTCTATTATCATATATACAACTACAAATTGAAATCGCTCTACATTTAAGAACA